GTTGCATATAAAGGGGGAATAGAGGGCTGGGAAGGTAGCTCAGTGGTAGAGCACTTGCCTTGCATGCATGAGGCCCTGGGTTCGATTCCTCAGCACTACATAAGCAAAAAGAAAAAAGCCGGAAGTGGCGCTGTGGCTCAAGTGGTAGAGTGCTAGCCTTGAGCTGAAGAGCTGAGGGACATCACCCAGGCCCAGAGTTCAGGCCCCACGACCGGACCCCCCCCAAAAAAGGGGGGGGAATAGAAATATGTATATGCCTTCACATTTATAAATACTATTTTCCAAGAGATTCATCCACGCCTAGCAAAATTATAGCAGGAACCATTATGATTTAGAGAAAGACATACACTATACCTTTAAACTTTCATAGTTGTTATCAAGAACCACTCAGTCATTAACAAAGCTTATAGAAATTATATTACAGTAAAGTAAAACTAGCCCATGAAGGTTACTCGAGACTTCCAATACAGAACAAGTAATGACTTTAAAAATATCTTTAATGTCTTATGTCTTTTTACTCTTCCCTTTCCTTCTCCTTGCTTTTAAAAATCCATTCTAACTCTATTTTTCCTTATATATCTGTCTTAATATTATTTCCATTTTGTTTGCCATTATCAATGAATATACATTATCAATGTATATAGGGTGAGTAAGAAAAAGCTGAGTGAACATTTGAGGCACTTGTTCCAGTACCAGCAAGACAGACAAACAGACAGGTAGACAGACAGACTGATTGATTCTGGAAATGACATCCTAAAGCTGATTGTTCTTCAAGTGTTATCAGCACCTTCTATAAATATTCCAAGTCTGTAGTTTATATGCAGAGGGAACATTTACAACATTTACAAATCATGGCTGTCTATACATAAAATAGGCTCTAGTAACTCAAGAGACTGAGATCAGAATCTAAGCCAATCCAGGCAGAAAAGTCTGCAAAATTCCATCTTCAAAATAACCAGCAAAAAGCTGAGCTGGAGGCATGGCTCAAGTGGTACAGTTCTGGGTACATAAGGCCAAACCCTTGGTATCAGAGAAAAAAAATACTATAAAGCTCTAACTTAAAAAAAAAAAAAAATCCTTCAGGGCTGGGAAGGTGGCTCAGTGGTACAGTGCTTCCCTTGCATGCATGAGGCCCTGGGTTCAATTCCTCAGCACCACATAAGCAGAAAAAGCCAGAAGTGGTGCTGTGGCTCAAGTGGTAGAGGGCTAGCCTTGAGCTGAGGGATAGCACCCAGGCCCAGAGTTGAGGCCCATGACTGACAGAAGAAAAAAAAAAGATCTTTGAGGTCGGGCATTGGTGGCTCACACCTGTAATCCTAGCTACTCAGGAGGCTGAGATCCAAGGATCAAGGAGCTCAAAGCCAGCAAGGGGAGGAAAGTGCATGAGATTCTTATCTCTAATTAACCATCAGAAAACCGGAAGTGATGCTGTGGTTCAAGTGGCAGAGTGCTAGCCTTGAGCTGAAGAGCTAAGGGACAGAGTTCAAGCCCCACACCCGCCCCCCCCCCCCCCCCCAAAAAAGAAAGGATCTAACTTTGGTGTGGAAAAAACAGGTAATCTGGTTTAAAGAAAACATCGAAGAAGATGTTTTTTTCAGAATAAATTCATCATAAGTAAAGCAATGTGATTTGAAGAGCTACAACAACAACAAAAATACTTCAAATACTTACTATGTTCAGGTCAACAATTCCAACAAAAGCATCACATTGTTTTTAGATGACCAGGTTTTATTTATAGGAATTAGTAGTACATTTACAAAGCAAGTGTCTGTTGTCCCCTTATAAAATGAAATCCAATTATAATTAGAATAAAAGGTGAGTCAGATATTATGATACAACAAGACTACTAATATAAGTTTTAAAAGAGAAGAGCAGAATTTACCAACCTGTCAAAAGCTTGGATAGGATTTTGACAACTCTTCTAGAAGACTAAAGTTCTTTATATACAGACTTCTTAGGATAAGGTTTCCAAGATGGGGATATGACTTACTAACATTCAAGTAAGAAATACTGAATGCGAACTTTATAAATAGCTTATATATACCCAACTACTTCTCTAAATCCTAAGGTTAAACCAAAGAATGGATGCCAGTGGTTCCTAGCTACTTCTAAGGCTGAGATTAGGAAGATTTCAGTATTAGGCTAACTTGGACATATACTGGACATAGTAGTATGTGCTTCTTATCTTAGCTAACTAGAAGGCCCAGATCAAGCCCAACCTGATCAGGAAAGTCTGAGACTCCATCTTAATGGAAGAAACTGGGCATGGTAGAATGCACCTGGCATCCCAAGTATGGCTGGAATAGAAAAGTAGAAGACTGAGGTCCAGACACTTGTCTGGGAGGGAGCAAAGACCCTATTTCAAAAATAACCAGTGTAAAAAAGGAGTGGAGACAGGACTTAGGGATAGAGAACCTGCCAAGCAAGCAAGTGCAGGCTCTGAGTTCAAATCCTATTAGTAAACCAAAAAAGAAAAGAAAAGACAAAGAATGAGAACAAAATCCCTGCTCACAGGGAGCTAATATTACAATGCTAGGAAACAGTAATCGTTTAACAAAGAAATAACAGTTGGTGTTAAATGCTCCTCTGAGACTCTTAAGGTGAAAATGTATTAGAACTAGATACTCTAGACTAGAAGTGTCTGTCTAGTAGATGAAGTGTAAACTGTTATTAATATTGAGTCAGTCATTAAAAAACCAGGGCAATCAGAACAGGTACTACAAAGGATAATGAGCTAGTCATATTGAAGAAAATAATAAAAGCCAGTATTACAGGGACAATGTATTTTCGTAGGGAGAAAATAGCAGATAAGGTAAATAATCAGTTAGCATAATGAATTTTATTCTGTGTGATAGGGAAAAGCCAATGGACACCTTAAGTAGTTTTGTGGTCTGACTTCTCTTTTAAAGGAGCTACACACCTCAGTATTGGTGACCCTCAACCATTTTATCTTGGGTCTTAATTCCAATCAGCACTAATAATGTCACCAAGAGGGTGACCAGATATCCCAAGTGGTAGTCCCAGGGTAGCCCTAGGAAAACTCTGATAGCATAGCTTTCCACTCTAAAAAATATGTCTAGACTGGATGAGAAATTACATATCTAGTTATATATTTTCATCACTAAGAGCTCTGTAGAAACTAGTATTCATGTATGTACTTATTCTTTTTGTATTTCCATTCATTCCACTATCAAACCTCAAGAGCTAGTTCCTATGTTAGGCTCAACTGTGAAGTATAACTATGGTACAAAATGACAGATTTTCAAGGCCCATACAATCTTTAAGCTACATGACAGATCTAAGCCATAAGAACAGCCAAAACATACCATGTTTTTTGCAAACTATAAGCAGTAGCTATGTATATTAGATAGATATTGAAATGTATAATCAACAAACACTTATTGAATCAAATGATGAAACTTCTCCATGGACTTTTACCATGAACGGGAACTTGTAATATGTGATAGGGAAAGATGTTTCTTTTTACAGGCAAATAATGATACCAAAATCTGCAACTCCTGAATCAGGTCCTTTGTCTCTGTGGTCTCATGACACAAAAGGAGAAGTAAAATAGCAAAAGATTTATTGAAGAAAAAGCAGAGCTTCTGTTAGACAGGTATCCCAAAGAAGAGCATCAGTCATGTGTTGCTCTGGAGTTAGTAATAAGCTTCTAAGAATTCCATGCTTCCTGAGATCACTAGACAGCCAGTGGACTGTATTACTCTGCAGATCCAATCAGAGTCTCCACACACCCTGAACAGGCTCTCCATGCAGCATTTAGCTGCTCTGACAAGTCCATTTTAGCTCACATCTCTGGGATCCAATCATCCATTGTTCATGTGCCAGTTCATCACTGACATGATGCCCAGGCCATGGTAATGTGATGTCTAGTGGCCTGCATACTGCATACAGGACTGCTCAAGGCTTTAGTTAAGGATATAGAACCCCTACAGGAGGAGACTTTGTCCTGATTGCCTAATCAGGCTCTTTTTCTGCTCTCAATAGCATAATCTGAAATAGGAACCTGACTTTTTCTTCTTGACCTCCAAAAGAGACTTCACTTATTTTAGGCTGGTCTCCATTAACAGAAAGATCAAGAAATCTGAACTTGTCTCCTTCAGAATAGTTTGCAGCAAATACATATCAAGTGTTTATCATGTTCAGAGACCCCGTGGACCCCATAAATAGGATTCTAATGTTCTATGCTCTTCATAAAGAGCATAGACAGGCAGACCTTGAAAAGAAATTTAAAAGTGATAATAATAATTGCATATTAACTTTATGGACCTGAAAGTTTCCATAATGCAGCACGCTTAAAAACTGTGCAAACTATGCTAATTGAATCCTAGCTTTATTTTGACACAAACTACATAAACTTGTGTGTTACTTGATTTCTCTAAATTATGCTCTTTTTTAAGTAAAGCTAGCAAGTTGAAAGGAATTGTGTCAACTAAATAACGGTAAAAAAAAAATTACATGATGACTGCAAAACAACACTCTATATATACATAATATACGTATATTATGTGCCAAGCAAGGAACATATGTTTATCTTCACAACCCTTAGACGACTGGCTATTATTATTACCTTTATTTTACAGATGAGGAAAAGGAGGTGAAAGTATCAGAGTACTGGAGTCTCTCTGGATTGAAACGCTCAGAACCTAGGTCAGGAGTTACGTAGGCACCACTCCAAAACTGTCTCTCGTCACCAGACCGGTCTTCTTTACCCAGTTTGAAGGAGCACACTTCTCTCCTCCCACCCACCCCCCAAATGCAAAGGAAAACCAGAGCTGCGAAGAGTTCTTCCTGACTGAGGGGTCTGAGGGAACGTCGCGCGTGTCTGTTTCGCGGGTTCGCGCGCGCTGCCAGGGCGGTGCGGAGGGAGCCGGGAGGGAGCCCGCAGGGAACCCACCGCCCGGCGCACCGCGGCCAGGCGCCGGCCCCGACCCAGGTGTCCGAACCCTGACGCCTGACAAGAACGCATGCAAAATAACTACCTGGACTGCTGGCGGCTCCAGCTGGCTGGTGCTCCCACCACTCGTCTCCAAGGTCGTCTGCCATCTCCGTGGGAATCGACGTGAGCCGGCAATCAGGAGAAGGCGGTAGGGAAGCGTGGCTGCCAGGGAGCCGGGGCCGGCGGCACCACACGCGGCTCGCCCCCCGCCCGGAGCCTGGACGCTGTCGTCTCCGCCCCGAGAGATGGCGTCACGACGCCCCGCCCCCTCCAGCCTCTCGGCCCGGCGTAGTCGCCGATTCCACACACGCGCCAATGGGGCGCCGGGTCAGGGGACAGAGCCTCCAAAAGTAGACACATAGCTGGACCCGTAGAACGGAAGGAAAGGTTGCGATTTCTCTTCTGATTTTCAAAAAAGGTGCCTCTGTATTAATTAATTAATTTATGTTGCCGCAAAGGTGGTGTCGAAAGTGTGAGAAGTGATGCAAAGATGACTTTGCCCTGTGGGATTTCAAACCAAGTGCGGGCGGAGTGGGGGGGGGGGGGGGCGGCCACGTGGGTGTGTTTTTACTTCTGTGTCCGAATTCGGACGTGGATCTGTTCTGTACTGTTCGAGGCATTAGAAAGGCGTGCGTGAGAGCTCGGGACGGTGAATGTTGGGCCGTGATTGTACCCGAGACCACAATGTGATGAAAGAAAATGTGTTTAGCCCGGGCACCAAAGGGTCCGGCTGAAGAGCCGCCTCCCGCTCCCGGCCCTGAAACCAAGGATGGGAGAGTTCATTGCTGCCTTCCATGTCTCCTTTGACCTTCAGTGCAGCTTCTTGTCTCAATGGAGAAAACGGCGGGGAGAGACAAGGAAGAGCTGCTGGGCGCCTACCGGGGCCAGCTGTGAAAGTGATTGTGGTCAACCCTTTTCAGGACAACCCTCGTCCTCGGAGCTAGGAATCGTATGAGTAGTAAATGCGCTCTACACGCCTGACATAGTACATCGCATAGTGGTTTAAAAAGTAGAATCGGATTGCACCTTCCATATGCTACCAACTGAAAGAAAATGACCCAAACAGACAATAACCCAGAAGACCACACAGACAAAGTCATGTTGGAGGAAAGATTGCCGGCAGAGCCGACAAGGCCAAGTTCTCAAGCTAGGGGAGGGAAAATGGTACTGTAGTGGGGAGATGCAGTGAGACCACTCAGTCCCAGTGAAAATGTAAAAGATTTTATTGGCGGGCTGGGAAGGTGGCTCAGTGGTAGAGCGCTTGCCTTGCATGCTTGAGGCCCTGGGTTCGATTCCTCAGCACCACATAAACAAAAAGGAAAAAGCCGGAAGTGGCGCTGTGACTCAAGTGGTAGAGCGCTAGCCTTGAGCTGAAGAGCTGAGGGACAGCGTCAAGGGCCAGAGCTCTGGACCCCCCTCCCACTATTGAGCAAAAAGTGCTGACCCGCCAGGAGTGCCAGCCCACATTGGCTTTTAAGAATTTTGGGGTGTGGGGGGGATTGGGAGAAGGGGGAGGTTGGGTGCTGGTTATAGCCAATGATTGTTACAAGAAATGCCCACCTTAAGTTTAAATTTCCCTCCAAGGCTTTGCTGGTGGGAAGCAGGGGACTAGAACAAAGTGTGGTGATGGTTCAGCTGGGTTAGGCTTGCACTGTTCAGAAAATAGCAGAAGCAGAGTTAGACTTACAGAGTTACAGGGTTACAGAGTTACAATTACAGTTACTAGCTAAAGTAACAAGTTACCAGGGAAGTCTTATCCACAGCACACTTAAGTTTATATCTTAAAATCATTTGTTATCCATTTTACACAATCCAAGTCAAATATCTTATTCCATCTTTTAAGTCCTCCACCACCCCACCACCCTCTGGAAGACCCCTTTATACCACTGGAGGCTTGAGATGTTTCACCTGAAGCTGGAGGGGAAGTGCCTTACTAGTCCCTCTTACAGATGCTGTTATCCAAGTGGGGGGTCTTGGGACAGGAAATGGGTGATGTCTCACTTGCTCTGTAGGCACTGCCATTTAGGTACCACTATTGAGGTGGGGGCTAGCAGGAGCTGCTATTCAGACCAGGCCTGCTATTCAAGACAGGGGGCTCAGGGGCAGGAAATAGGTGGTGCCTCACCTGCTCCACAGGCGCTGCTGTCCAGATGCTGCAATTGAGGTTCTGCTATTGAGGTGAGGGAGGGGCTCAGGGGCAGGAACATCAATTAGAGTGGAATAGAGGATGAAACTAACAAGAATAAAGCACATCTAATTAATAGTTCCTCAGAAGTGACAAGACACCTTAACCTAATGAGAAGAGGATTGGAAAGTGACCTGGAGCCCAGCCATCTAATCGATGGCTTATAAATGCATTACTGATGGGACTGTTATCAGGACTCTATAAATCAAATGGAAGATACTTTATTTTTTAAAATGCCAAGAGGGCAGGAAGATATAGGCATTCCTGTCTTATGACTTCAGTTTTCTCAATGAATTCAGAAACCTAATCTAGAAGTTTAATGGGTCCTATTTATGACTGTTGGAATTTCCTGGAAAGATTTGTTTGAAAAAAAAAAGCAGTAACAACAAAACTTCTGAGTGCTACTTATCATAGATTAGGATTGAATAAATCCTAGATGGAGGCCAGAGAATTTCAGTTTTCTTTTAGAATTATCAGAAGCTCTTATGCATTGCCAGTTTTTTTATATTATTTATATCCAGCATTATATATAAGTTTGAAAGCAAAAATGCTGGGCAAGAAATTAGGTTGATAGGTATGAGTCAAGCGGAAAAAGTCAGATAATGTGATGTTAGGAAAACGAACCCTCAAATATGTATTTTAATGTTTTTGTTTCTTTCATGCATGTGTTTCTAATGCATTTATAAGATTATTTCTTTGTTGCTTTGTATGTCCCTCCCCCACAGTGTAACCCCCGCTTTCACTATATTTGATGTCAGTATAACATGTGGAGGAGATGGGGACAAACAAGTCGTTTAAGGATTCAGGTGGACCTGTTGCAACAATGAGAAGTACAAAATGTCATGTCAAAACCAGCTTTACAATGTCGGTGTGTGTGGGGGGAGGGGGGGTATGATTGGGTGGGGGGGAGGGGGGAGGCTGGGAAGGGAGGTGAAGGGTAAACAAAGGAGGAGGCTGCAATGCTTGGTAAGAAATGTATGCATTATCCTGCCCATGTAATTGTAACCCCTCTGTACAGTATGTTCTCAAATAAAATAAAATTAAAAAAAAAAAGAAATTAGTTTGGCTTTTTTATTTATTTTTTCAAGTATGTTTTTCTTGGCTTAACAAGTGTTTTTGTTTTTGGTGGCTTTTGTTTTTCAGTGCTACAGATCGAACTTAGGGCTTTGCTAGTCCTAGGCAAATATTTTACAACTGAGCTACATTCCCAGCTTACAAATGAAATCTTCATAGTGAAATCATTGTTCAATGATTCTTCACTGTGGTCAAAATAATGAACACACCATCTTTCATTTCTGAAAAAAAAAAAAAAACCTAAGGAATAATATGGAGTTTATTCTGTAACATGAGTTCATCTGAAATCGACACATGCTGTCAGTTATTAACTTTTTCTCATATAGATAAGTAGTCTTGCCACCTTCATTTAAATGTTTTTCTTATTATTTCTCCACTGATCTTCAGTGACAGAAAATGTCCATGTCTCTGCAGAGCAATTTTAAGACCTTCTATCTTTCACTGGTCATTGTCTATCTCTATTCCAATATAATAATATCTTAATTATTTTTTCATATTTTCCACCTCTTTTATCTCTTTACATTTATGTTCAGAATGATTTTCTCATATATAACTTGCAGGTTACTAATTGTGAAGTTATGACAGTGTTAAACCCATGTGTGTATGTGTACATGTATGTGTACATGTACAATATCTTTTTGTACATATAAAGGATTGGTTCCAGAATTAGGACCAGCTTAATACCAAAATACCTCAGATACTTAAATCCCTTATATAAAATTGGATTGTTTTCTTTTAAATCATTCATATCCTCCTATTCACTTTAAATCATCTCTAGGTTGTTTATAATATGTAATGTAACGTCTATGTAAATAAGTGTTACACTGTATTGCTGAGGGAATAATAACATCGAAAAAAGGGTATGTGTTCAGAATATATCCATATTTTTCAAACTATTTTCAATCCACAGTTGAATCATAGATGGTAGAACTCATGGGTGCAGTTAACTGTGTCTAGTCATGAATGGCATAGTGACTGCCCAAATATACAACAATGATCCCATAAGATTATGGAGTTGAAATATTGCTATCATCTGTGATACCATTACCCAATGCATGACTTACATGTTTATAGTGATGCTAGTGGAAACCTACTATGCTTTCAGTGCTATGAAAGTATAGCATGTTTAATTAGGATTAAAGAATACTGTTCACCCTTGCTCAGTTTTCATCTGACCCCTGTCTGAGCTTTCCTGTAGGTGTGGTAGGTCATTCCTATCATGCTGACAGCTTCCTTGCTTGGACACCTCATAAACATGACGTTAGTGCCTCCCCTTCCTTCATTTCTTCTTAGTAGGATCAGATCTTTGTATAGACAGAGCTGGAAGTATTGTCCCTACATGGCAGATCCAAAGGCAATACTGTGTAGAATCTCTGCATGCCTCTACACTGAAAATATAGTTTGCCTTCTGCAACCAAACTATTTTTAAAGCAGATGTGGTCATGATACTGAGTTTTAGTAGAAATTGAGCACTGGCCTATCAAACATCCAATAGCCATATGACCAGAACTACCCTTCAGGACCTGAGTATTGTGAAGCTGTGTGCTAATAGCAGTAGTAGTCCAATGAAAAATAGAAATAAAAGGGAGCAGATCCAAGTCCAGAAGTCACAAATCAGTTACTTGAACAAGTGGCTCCAATCTACCTGTTATGTTTCTTTTCTCAAACATTTATCCGGCTGATGTTGTTGGAGAAATACTAAAAACTGGTTGCATTAGTGGAGCTGTAAATGGACTATGAGTACACTGTGGCCTATTTCATGGGGTGGCACATAAAGGAAAGTAGTGAAAAGAATCCTGGTACATACATTCAATCGTATTTGAATAGACTCTTAGATACAGACAAATGGATGATCTTGAGCAACAGTAAGTGATGTGATTGATTTGTGAAAAGGCCTGGAAGACAGAATTTTTGAAGTTCAATAACAGGGA